TAAGATACAGATATATATATAAAATAAGATAATTAATAATATTATTATTAATTATATATATATGTTGGATAATTAATAATAACATTAAGATACAGATATATATATATATAAAATAAGATAATTAATAATATTATTTATAATATAAAATATTATAAATTATTAATATAATATATTACTAATATATTATTATTAATATATATAATTAATATATATAATATATATAATTAATATAATTTATTACTAATATATTATTATTAATATATTATAATATATATAATAAGATAATTAATAATATTATTTATAATATATATCATAATATATTATATATAATATATAGTACAATATTATTATTAATTATCCAACATATACATATATATATATATGTGTGTGTGTGTGTGTGTGTGTTGGATAATTAATAATAAAATTAAGATACAGGCCTCTGCGATAGATAACACATTTGCGTATAAAAAAAAAAACCACTTTCCTTCTTTCCCGAATATTGACGAGATAAATCGTCTTTATTTGCATTTCAATGTTCATGCCGCCTGAACGTGTTACATTATTATTAAGAACAAGTCAGTCGAAATTATCGTTGCCTCGTGCACAATCGTCGCGCGTTATTCTAGAAAAGTGATACAATTTTAGAGTGGGCACACGTTTCGTGGATAATGTTACATTGCATAACGTTACATAAGGACGTTAGTGCGATTTGGCGTGTACGTGCGTGCACGTTAATTGCGCATAAAATATCCGGCGACCATTATTTCTGTCATTAAGCGCGGCGAGAGAACCGGATCTCGAAATTGTAAAAAAAAAGAAAAAAGAAATTGTAAAATGCAACGCATTTGTTACTTCTGACGTGTTTCATTATTTTTAAAATATTTCTCGCGATTTGTGTTTGAATTTTTCGTTTTTTTTTTTTTTTTTTTAATATAAATAATCTGTCAATTTATATTGTATTGCAGAGAAAGTTGCATGTTAAAGTTAACGACACATCAAAAGTTGCGAGTATTAATAATTGGAAATATACATGCAGGTGTCAGACGCAGCTGCAGTAGTATCAGTCGCTATTCCATCAGACTGTCACAAGCTGAATGTATTTATAATTCGTGATTATTGTAAGAAATTTTAAATATTTATAATTTTAATATTTTCATTGTAGATATTTCGTTGATGCAGAGTTGATGATATTGTACACGTATGTGTAAATACTTTGATTCGAGCAGAGTATTGTATTCCACGCGCGTCTGACATATACACGACGATACTACTTACAGAGATGCTGCGTTACTCCACATGCATTCTGTTGTATATTTATTTACGCACACACTTTTCTATAGGTCTTAAATCAACTTAAAGATATAATCAAATTGATAATATATTCACTGTACCAAAATCAATAATATATTTATATACATTGAACAGCATAATATCAACTCATGTGTTTCAGATAAGTATACAACTTGCAACAGAAAAGTTAATCCTGAGAATTTAAAGCAATCGAGATCTATAGTTACACGTTACAGCTGACGAGCATACTTAATTATCCATTACATAATTTTCAATTCTCTCTCCTTGCTTTTCCAAACTGAACATTATTGTTTGCGTCTGAAACAATCTTCTCAACATCCTCAACTGGAATGTCCTTTACCCACGACGAAATAATCTCTGCAAATAAATCGTCTAGACCACACGCCATAAAAGTGCAACGCGTAACACAATTCTAGTCTAGGCTCGTTGCGTGTCACGTAGCCGAAGGTCGAGTCATCGTAACAAGTGAATGTATACAGTGTGCCTCATAATTTTCAGCTCGAGTCCTGTCATTCATTCGTATTTTCTAAATAAAATAAAATTGACACTAGTCCGCTACGCACCAAAAAGTCCAAAGATTCTGTTGCTCTGTAAGTTGTAACTGGACTATAACTACTGGTGTATCAACATATTCAACATTTTATTTTATTTGGTCGAACATTTATTATATTTTTACTGTATATTTTGATACACGTGTCTTCGTGTATTTTAGTATTCGTTAACAGCTGTATAGAGAAGATATATTGAATATATGTATCTCTGTCATACACGTATATTATATATAGTATATTTTAGTATATTATAGTATTATAGTAATATAATATTAGAGTAAAATATGGATATATTAAATACATGTATCTCTGTCATACACATATTATATACAGTATATTTTAGTATATGTTATATTAAGTATATTATAGTATTATAGCAATATACTGTATTTAATATGTATTATATTAAACATATTATAGTACTATAGTAATATAATATTAGACTAAAATACGGATATATTAAATACATGTATCTCTGTCATACACATATTATGTACAGTATATTTTAGTATATATTATATTAAGTATATTATAGTATTATAGCAATATATTGTATTTAATATGTGTTATATTAAACATATTATAGTATTATAGTAACATAACATTAGAGTATATGGATATATTAAATACATACATCTCTGTCATACACATATTATATACAGTACATTTTAGTATATGTTATATTAAGTATTATGTTATATTATAGTATTACAGCAACATACTATATTTAATACATATTATATTAAACATATTATAGTTTAGATACATATTATAGTAATATAATATTAGAGTAAAATATGGATATATTAAATACATGCATCTCTATCATACACATATTATATACAGTATATTTTAGTATATGTTATATTATAGTATCATAGCAATATATTGTATTTAATATGTGTTATATTAAACATATTATAGTATTATAGTAACATAACATTAGAGTATATGGATATATTAAATATATACGTCTCTGTCATACACATATTATATACAGTACATTTTAGTATATGTTATATTAAGTATTATGTTATATTATAGTATTACAGCAACATACTATATTTAATACATATTATATTAAACATATTATAGTTTAGATACATATTATAGTAATATAATATTAGAGTAAAATATGGAT